CATTACTCTTATCGGCGTAACAATATGTACTCACGATAAATTGACTCTTGGAAGTTTTTAAGACTGAAATAGAAGAATAGTTTTACATAGCTACCTACGGTCTTTCCTTGGTTTGTAGAAACATGCGCTAGTAGTGATTAGAATTAAAAATTTATTCGAATGGTGATTTTAGGGGTTTATTTTTTTATTGCATAGATGGGTGAGAGAGCTCACAGCCCACCTGATGTTAAGTTGTATCCACCTTGAGATATGAGTTCTAAGGTCTCAGTATAGTTACAACGGCTGCCCCACTCTTCAAACCGAAACGCATTTACTGCTTCACGGCAGAAATAGGCAGAACAGGTTGACTCGAATATTTCCTTTTTGTTGGCTTATGTGGACGGATGAAATCTCGAACCACGGCCCCTCTGGTTTAAGGCTTATAATCGTTAAAATTAGTTGCGAAAATAATAATAATAGTGGCCATAGATATGACAAACAAACACAGTAAGGTTTTTGGTTCATCGCACAGCAATGCATGTTGTGTGCTTTGAAGCTTGAGTGAGTGCTCTGAGGAATTGTTTGAGATGATCCCCTCATCTCCTTTTTATCATCGCACCTCCCGCCATTTCCAGAGGTCTTTTTTGCCACGTACCATTCGGCTATGGAATGAGCTCCCCTCCACGGTGTTTCTCGAGCGCTATGACATGTCCTTCTTCAAAAGAGGCTTGTGGAGAGTATTAAGCGGTAGGCAGCGGCTTGGCTCTGCCCCTGGCATTGCTGAAGTCCATGGGCGACGGTAACCACTCACCATCAGGTGGGCCGTATGCTCCTCTGCCTACAAGGGCAATAAAAAATAAATAAATAAAGAGTGACATAAGCGACATATATCTGTAACGCTTCCAGATTATTTTATATCTCCGGAATTGCCTTTGTAGTGCCGTCCAGTAGTTTTCATTTGATTTTTTACTCGACCATCGAGTTCTATTACCCGGGGCAGTATAGGGCTTCGCCCTAGTCCATGTGTTTCAGAAAGGCAAAGTATATTTTTCATATATAATTAATATATACATATTTTTTATTGCTTAGATGTATGGACGAGCTCACAGCCCACCTGGTGTTAAGTGATTACTCGAGCCCATGGACATCTACAACGTAAATTCGCCACCAACCTTGAGATATAAGTTCTAAGGTCTCAGTATAGTTACAACGGCTGCCCCACCCTTCAAACTGAAACGCAATACTGCTTCACGGCAGAAATAGGCAGGGTGGTGGTACATATACGTGCGGACTCATAAGAGGTCCTACCACCAGTAAAAAGACTTCGAGATTTACGTTAGCGTATGTCAAAACAATTTTCGTGGTCTCGATTATGAGTATAAGTTTCGAGTTTCGTGAACATGACGATTGGATTGCGAAACGAAAGTAATAAGTACATTCATTCGTGCTGCTGAAATTAATTCTTTTTACGGACGGTAGTAGGGGCGCTGTTTATATCCTATACATTTTTTCTCGATAGCGATACGAATACTTTTTCGATGGTCATTCGTGCTCGCCCCTCTGAACGCAAAATTAGCTAAATAATAACAAAATATAATACGATAATTTCGATCTAAGAAAGTCCAGGATATTAAGCTATTGCTTAATTTTTATAGCGGACTTTGAGCGCGGCGACCGAATCAAGAAATTCCGTAACGAAAATAAAACCTAGCACCCCCACTCCGCATACCATGTAGCTCGCGTTCAATACATTCACACGTTGCGCTTGTGTAGTGAGTTTGTGAATAAGCGCGCGGCGTGACGCCGCACTGCATGCGCATCTTGCAAAGTCTGCCCATCTCTCTCTCTTGCGCGGTCTAACTTATGAGTGTGAAGGGGACAGTTAATGTTTTGCTTTTTTTAATATTTATAAATATAGCGTGGTCCTATTTTGTCATTGTTTTAATATTATATTATTGTCTAATTATAATTGCATAAGTTGATAAAAAATGCTATGCAATAGCTTTAACGCGGCAGTCCCCGAGTGCCACACGCGTTTTTTTTTTCTAACTTTAAGCGCTTGGTCGTCTGTAAGTTTCATTACTCTGTGGTTCTTTGAATAAAAAAACTAAGAAGAGCACAGAACTCTGTAGTCAGGAGCCTGCCGTACTACTATAGCATCAACAGTTCGATGTTTTCTTCTTTTTTTTCCCCCTACATTTTCACTCTGTTTTCATTGTAAAACTTCTTCGTTTAACTGCCTTTTTTCGGCATAAGGTCACTTTAGTATTCGTAACACGGTACATCCTAACGCTTAGAGTTTGTACTGAGCTTTTTGGATCGTGAAAACAGGTTATATTTTATGGAAATTTTAAAGGAAAATTTACATGTATATTATACTGTGTGTAATTATTTGTATGTATGCATTTTATTATTATTATTATTATTTTATTGCCTAGATGTGTGGACGAGCTCACAGCCTACCTGGTGTTAAGTGGTTACTGGAACCCATAGACATCTACAACGTAAATGCGCCACACACCTTGAGGTATAAGTTCTAAGGTCTCAGTATAGTTACAACGGCTGCCCCACCCTTCAAACCGAAACGTATTACTGCTTCACGGCAGAAATAGGCGGGGCGGTGGTACCTACCCGTGCGGACTCACAAGAGGTCCTACCACCAATAATTACGCAAATTATAATTTTGCGGGTTTTACTTTTATTACACGATGTTGTTCCTTCACCGTGGAAGTCAATCGTGAACAATTGTTAAGTACGTATTTCATTAGAAAAATTGGTACCCGCCTGCGGGATTCGAACACCGTTGCATCGCTATATACGAATGCACCGGACGTCTTATCCTTTAGGCCACGACGACTTCATTTTATACATAGGTATATTAAATTGTAGTATGTTTATTTATGCATACAAAGTCATATGTAATCTATATAAGTACCTATATTTAACATTATGTGTATTCTACTATACTGAGATGTTAGTTTAAGGAAGATTATTGTTTTGATTTTGTTCTTTTTTTGTTTTTTTTGTTGTTGTTTGTTATTCTTTTGTTAATGCACCTACCATACATTCATTATCTCTGCACCACCCTATGGTCGACTGGAAGAGAATGCTCATGGCATTAAGTCCGCCTGTGTACAACTTTTGTTTTGTGCATAAATAAAATTAAAAGAAAAAATTGCGAGTATAACGATGCTTTTTTGACATGCAATTATTTGACCGTCCTACCAACTTAATGTGAAGCCATGTTAGTTATGAAGGTCATGATGCTATGAATTCCGCTACTAAAACTTAAGACGTGAAATCTGAAGTATTTGGTTGAGAGGATCTTAACAATAATATTTCAGGTTACTTTTACTGTAACTAAGGACTCATCGAATTACGAATCCTTACTGGTGGTAGGATCTCTTGTGAGTCCGCACGGGTAGGTACCACCGCCCCGCCTATTTCTGCCGTGAAGCAGTAATGCGTTTCGGTTTGAAGGGTGGGGTAGTCGTTGTAACTATATTGAGACCTTCGAACTTATATCTCAAGGTGGGTGGCGCATTTACGCTGTAGATGTCTATGGGCTCCAGTAACCACTTAACAACCAGGCGGGCTGTGAGCTCGTCTACCAATCTAAGTAATAAATAAAAAAAATTAAGCATCTTTCACTTACTAACTCTTTCCGAAGTAAAAGTGTACTTCGCACTTTTCTTATGTATTATACCTCACTTCCATCTCTTCAGATTAAGCCTGTTGAGCCGTGAGTTTTAGTCTTCGGATCTTTCTATATGCTACGGGTCTTAATACATATTCCCACCACTGATTATGTACCATGTTGCTATGTATTTTTTATATATTTCTATATCTAATATCATATTACAAAAAGCGAACCTTCTATACATTTACTAGGTAATCTGTTATAAAATCTTGAGAAATATGTCGCCTTGAATAAATGGTTTCCAGTAGTTTGGTTCAGTTCTGCATAACGAAGTCCTAAATAGCGTAGTCAGTACCACAGATTAATAAATAGTGTAATAAAACAACTCCAAAGGTGTTAGTCATTTAATCCAAACAAATAATTATTTATGTGATCTAGATCTCTTTTGAAATTTTTCAACAGAGCTGCTCAAAAATTATCATTCGTAGGTGTTCTCTGAATTGAAAAAAAAAAGAGTTAATAACAGCGACTCAAAACATCCTTTGAATGTAGACAATTTATTACTAGAATATTAAATAGGTATGAAAAAAAATTCTCGCAAATTACTACGTACCTACGTTTTTCTGTCACAGCTTGAACTATAATGTTTTTTTTTTTTTTTTTTAGTTTATGGCCTGGTATCTACCTTTAGGCCAAGTCTTAAGTATTTTTATTCGGTTTATTATAATTTCCCCACTGTATTTTTGATGAATTTATATAGAGGCACGTAATAGGATCTATTTTTTTATATAATGTTTATTATTAACACGTGATGGTTACTGAATATGAAAATCTAAGTGACTGCTTTGTCAATTAATCTACATAGCCCGAATTATTTGACACCAGCGCGCGTATAACTTCAAATTGCTACAGGAATTCTATAGGATAGGTACTAATTGTAATGCGAATTGGAGTCGGTCATTTCACAAAACCGGTTGGTTGTTGTGAGCTGTGAGGAAAAACAGGCAATACCTGGTCGTTATACTACAATTTTTTTATTTTTCTCAATAATTATCGGTTTACGGATACACAGTGCTGTGCTATTGGCCGTTTTCCAATTACAGCACAGGAGCGCATTATGCGGCATAATGCTCAACTAATTGGAAAACTACCGTTAAGTAATGGTCAATTACAGAGCATAATGCGACTCAGTGACGCACAATGCCGAATTATGCTGAAGCTTAGTTGAGCATTATGCCGCATAATGCGCTCTTGTGCTGTAATTGGAAAACGGCCTGTATCTACATTATATAATTCGTTACGTCAAAAATCACAATTATGAGCCAGTTACAAAATTTGACAGTAGTGAAGCTGTCACAATCAAATATTTTTTTATAAAGTATCACAATAAACGTCTGACTTCAGAATTGAGTGACGAGAATATAATTCTACTCGGTATTTTGGAGTTGTAATTGTCGTGAATCAAAATGTATCCGAACGGGAGATTTTTATCAAAACCATTTGTTATGTCGTCTCCTTCGTCGTGGCTGTTCGATGATGTTTGGACCCCTTGGTCTCTTTTTGACGTCTGGTTTTTTGACCTCTATAAATATTAGAAGGCACAGATTAGGCACAATAGATATGTATTTAAATACCCTACTCTTAATAATAGACTGACCTAACTCATAAAAGCAAATCGTTGGGAAATTCGCAAAAACGTTATGTCATTACTAACTTGTCTGATTTAATTACTTATACATCATTGAAACTTGTCTGATGAATAATAAAGAATGTACATAATATAAGAATAGCAGATATTTTTTTTATTGCTAGATGGGTGGATTAGCTCACAGCCCACCTGGTGTTAAGTGGTTACTGGAGCCCATATACATTTACGACGTAAATGCGTCATCCACCTTGAGATATATGTTCTAAGGTCTCAAGTATAGTTACAATGGCTGCCCCACCCTTCAAACCGAAAAGCATTACTGCTTCACGGCAGAAATAGGCAGGGTGGTGGTACCCACCCGCGCGGACTCACAAGAGGTCCTACCAACAGTAATTACGCAAATTATAATTTTGTGGGTCTCATTTTTATTACACGATCGTATTCCGTCACCGTGGAAGTCAATCGTGAACATTTGTCGAGTACGTATTTCATTAGAAAATTGGTACCCGCTTGAGATTCGAACACCGGTGCATCGCTCAACACGAATGCATCGGACGTCTTATCCGTTAGGCCACGACGACTTCAAATAATATAGATAAGAATTAAGCAATTATAGATACTAAAATGTAATTTTGATGATTTTCTGTAATTAATTATAATATTATAGATGAAAATTTATCTCTGAGCTTAATACTAAAATCAATGTTATATTCATGACAGGTGATGATACTTTTTGTAATATTTTACTAAAGCTTTTTTTTAATAAATTTCTAAGTTATATTATTCACTTTTGTACTAAATAGACCTAATAAGCAGCTTAAATAAAACTTAGCTGAGATTTTGACATTAGACGAACTCAATTATCCCTGGGTCACTAAAAAAAACACCGCGAGTTGACTGTCACAATTACGCAGACGCTTACCTAGGTTTCATCTTTCATCTTCAGTGGGTTTAATTCATACCGTACTTCAGTGCGCTTACCTCATAGACCTATATAGTAGGGACACGACATATTGTTCTATACGTACAATTGCTTATATAAATAGCACCCATTTTGAAGGCACATACATAAACATATATCTATCTCGTTCTTACTCACCACTTTAACTCGCAGGAAAACAATATAACATTATTTCAGTGCGTACATAAAATGAAACATGAATATACGTAAATGTCTCCGTCTCCGTCTAATGAGGCCGAAAATCCGCCATGTTTAGCGCGCCAAATGTCATTGTCACGTCAGTTCGGCCGTCTGTTTTGGGTTGTACATTATTTATTGACTTTGATATCGATTTAATATGATTGCTTATATAAAATTTCTTATTTTATCATGCTTAAAACATACAAAAATAATAATTAAAACATATTTTATAGAATCTCAAGAAAGTCGATGCCCCAAAACTATTATCTATATATATTTAAATTCATTATGGAGCCCTCATCCGAAAAATCGGACACCATTTTTCGGTCGGAATCTATTGATCATGACACTAATCATAAATACCTCTTTAAAATATGTCATCAAAACATATTTAGACATTCTGTTTAGATATTTCAGGAAAAAGGCTACCGACAAAATCTCTTCGGAACTATTTAAATAAAATAGTTTTATTCCGCAGTGAGTAAAACACTATTGTCAACTCGTTAAATATTTAATAATTAAGTGATTTTAGAGAGGAAGTCACAAGGAATGACGTTTGTAATTTTATTAACGAATAAATGTTCTGTAGGTGTTTTTTTTTATCAGGCGGTCCCTTGATAAGTTTAAAATTTGAATCACTCTCAAGTGAGAGTGATTCAAATGGTGCGGCGTACCTTCCTTGAGGTGCGCTGCGGTAGTGTGTTACGGACTTTAGAGTCAGCAAAACAATTAAAATAGATTGTAATAGTCTAAGAAAAACACGTACTCAAAATACGATAACATTCAGCATGCTAGAAATGGGCAGATGGCACTGTACTACGCCATATCTTTATGTTTTGCGGCAAACGACAACTTTATAAAATCAGTGTAGCAAATTTTAAAAATCGTCATATCGTTTACTTGGCAAATTTGAAGCACGAACTCGTCTTAGATTTCACATAACATCTAAATCACATCATCTTTGCACATAACAATATACTTACTTCCTATTAAAGTATAAATTCTACAAATACATTCACTCAACAATATTTAAAATAAAATGAGCCAAGAACGTTTATCGATAAAACTTACTAACATTAAAATTTTCTGGGCAGCACTAAAACCGCCATGTTTTGTGGCCAGGTGACGTCATAGTGGCACGAATTTTTTGTTGACGTTTCATTTCCATAGGTTTCCTACTTCAGTGGCTTACCTATTGATTTATGTCAGTGTCACTTGATAAGCCTTGTCAAAATTTGCACGAGTAAAAGAGACAAACATAGCAGTTTCTCTGTCTAGATTAATTCTGACATTGTTAAAAGATGGCTTTGTAATAAATCTACATGTTTGCATAACTCGCTTTGAAATTAATTAGTAATTGGTCAGTCTATTATTAAGCGTGCGATAATTTTAAAAACATTCTTAGATAATAATTAAAGAAAAAAATACTCACGTCATTTTTTGAACTGCTTTTTTCAGGGTTGATAGTATTTTCATGACTCATGTCTGGAGAGATTATTGGACCAACAAAACTGAATGAATTATTGTCGTTTGATTTATTGTAATTATTATTGTTTCGTTTTATTGTCAATATTGGAGAGGTATCTGTTACAAAAGATATATATTTAAATCCGTAGTTCTGTCAAGTTATTCATCTCATATTTCTAAAAAAATATTACAAGTACGAAATTTAAAAGGTTATAAAATAATTTTTTGAACAGTAGACTATTCAAATTATTATGTCCAACGAAGTAAGCAATAAAAAAAAAATACATATAAAACGTTATGTTTATGATTCCACTAAACAATCACTGCATAAGTGACATGTGAAATCTAGTCGGCTTATACGAGTACATTGTTGGCAACTCCCAACATTTTAGTATGGAAAATAAAATCATATGACTGGCAACAATGTTAATGTCTCCCCTTCTTTTTCACCGTAAGCGGACGTGTTTGTTATATTCTTAAAATATCAAATGTTTAAACATAGAAATAAACCATATTGCAGCCCAAAGCATCTTTTTTTTTTCCTACCTAAGCTGAGATCCTTGAGAGGCTATATCAGCGTAACCTTAACTAGTAGGTGAGCTCACGGGTCTTAAACCTGACGACGTTGCTAACACGAACCCTAGTAAGAGCCGTGCTTCGCAGAATCCAACTCCGGATCGGAAGCGCGACCCACTGAGAAGATCCGGCGAGAAACTCAGTGGGCTGTTTCTGAGGGTAACAATGCACAAGTTTTCTTTATCATCGGCAACCAGCCCATACAGCCCGCACCAAAACATACATTACCTATACTTTGGGAACGACGTGAATTCATAATCAATTCAGGTGTCGGCACAGAGCTCGAAGAATGCGTGCTGGTATTGTTTAAGACTGAAAATAAGATATGGTATGTAAGTACTTACCGGTGGTAGGACCTCATGTGAGTTCGCACGGGTAGGTACCACCACCCCGCCTATTTCTGCCGTGAAGCAGTAATGCGTTTCGGCTTGAAGGGTGGGGCGGCCGTTGTAACTATACTGAGACTTTAGAACTTATATCTCAAGGTGGGTGGCGGATTTACGTTGTAGATGTCTATGGGCTCCAGTAACTACTACCCATCTAAGCAATAAAATAAAAATTAAAAGTGCATTCAGGACTATGCGATGTTAGAAGAGTATTGGGGATATTAATGTAATCAATGTTTGGGTTATCTAGGTCCGAGGCTAGCCAGTTCTTTGTAGGTTTATTGTGAATAATAAATGAAAAAAAAAAGCATTTTATTTCACCCCTAATAATAACCTAAAACTTTTGAGGTATTTCGTTTTTTAGTCTAGTTATAGTGTACAAATATTATAATTAATCAATATGGGTATATGTATGTCAAAAATTTGAAGTCGTCGTGGCCTAAAGGATAAGGACGTCCGGTGCATTCGTATCTAGCGATGAAACGGTGTTCGAATCCCGCAGGTGGGCACAAATTTTTCTAATTAAATACGTACTTGACAAATTTTCACGATTTGACTTCCACGGTGAAGGAATAAATAACATCGTGTAATAAAAATCGAACCCGCAAAATTATAATTTGCGTCATTACTGGTGGTACTTGCTTTCAAAAAGAATTGCTTCTAATAATACAGCTTATACTATGATAATACACAAAATTAAATATCTATCTTCAATTCTTCATCGATTTAAATTGTAAAATAGTATAATGCAGACGAGATAGACACGAACGACGTCTCAATTGTGTCTCTGACTACAAGTTAGTGAGTAATTATAAATGATGTTTAAAGCAAGAGCGAACCAACAATGTATAGAAATAGTTATTTAAGTTTTTTGTTCCCTCCAAATACGTTGTCAATGTCTTAATTTTCGAACATAAACTATGATAATACACAAAATTAAATATCTATCTTCAATTCTTCATCGATTTAAATTGTAAAATAGTATAATGCAGACGAGATAGACACGAACGACGTCTCAATTGTGTCTCTGACTACAAGTTAGTGAGTAATTATAAATGATGTTTAAAGCAAGAGCGAACCAACAATGTATAGAAATAGTTATTTAAGTTTTTTGTTCCCTCCAAATACGTTGTCAATGTCTTAATTTTCGAACATATCCATTGGGGCAACACTACTGTTTGTTTAACTAAAATTACTTAGTTAAAGGGGATTGCCCACTCTCCATAGTGTGCTAGGCCCAAGGTGGACATTAAATATTACTATAAAAATGGACTGATTCAAATTCTTAAATGTATTAGATATCTAAAAAAAATATTGAAATTGACGCCACTATTATAAAAAATATAATAAAAATAAAAAACTCGTTTTGAGGTTAATTTTCTATATAAATACCTCAAGAACTTTTCTTTTTTTAATGTTTAAGATGTTCCTAATGTATTTTTATCCAATTGTAGTTATTAGGGTATAAAAAACACACATACTTCTTTAAATATCTATATTATTCTATATTNTCGGGAGGATCCGAGATGACGTGTTTTGGGCGACGTCGACTGCTTTCCATTCGGTCCGCAGGATCGGGAATGTAGTTACCGGCGGCCACGATGAGAGGGTTCTCGTGTCGTGCCGCTTTATAGAAGTGGTTTCACGATTGACTTCCACGGTGAAGGAATAAATAACATCGTGTAATAAAAATCGAACCCGCAAAATTATAATTTGCGTCATTACTAGTGGTAATTGTTTTCAAAAAGAATTGCTTCTAATAATACAGCTTATATTATGATAATACACAAAATTAAATATCTATCTTCAATTCTTCATCGATTTAAATTGTAAAATAGTATAATGCAGACGAGATAGACACGAACGACGTCTCAATTGTGTCTCTGACTACAAGTTAGTGAGTAATTATAAATGATGTTTAAAGCAAGAGCGAACCAACAATGTACAGAAATAGTTATTTAAGTTTTTTTTTCCCTCCAAACACGTTGTCAATGTATTAATTTTCGAACATATACATTGGGGCAACACTACTGTTTATTTAACTAAAATTAGTTAAATTTAACTCTTTCCTTAATGTTAAGATTATTGGATAACTATTTTAAGTACAGCGGATGTAAACAATTGTTTAAGGCGGCAATTCAAGAGTATTAATTTCGGCTTGAGCAGGCTGGGTGAACCTCTCTGTTGTTATTGTTGTATACTATGTGTAGGGAGCGGCTTGGTTCTGCCCCTGGCATTGCTGAAGTCCATGGGCGACGGTAACCACTCACCATCAGGTGGGCCGTACGTAAGGGCAATAAAAAAAATACTTGAAATTCAATGATAAAAGAATGAGGAGAATGATGGGATGAGAATGATGGGCGATGAGTGGATGAGCTCACAGCCGCCACCCACCTTGAAATATGAGTTCTAAGGTCTCAGGTATAGTTACAACGGCTGCCCCGCCCTTCAAACCGAAACGCATTACTGCTTCAGGGCAGAAATAGGCAGGGTGGTACCTACCCGCGCGGACTCTCAAGAGGTCCTACCACCAGTAAAAACCGATTGAGACCTTAGACTTACCCTCCTGTCATTGTCAAGACAAAAATGCTTAAATCGTTTTAATCACTGTGTCTAAAGGGCTCAGACAGCCGATCAGATAACATATGGTTTAAAGTATGTATATTTTTCCAGTACAAAACTAGGAAACTGGATGAGCAGCGATGAGCAAGAAGCTCGGAGGCGATTCTCTTTGAGGACATCAGCCACGTTCCTCGACGGAGCAGCGAAACTCTACAAGCGTGGTATTCAACAACTTTTGGAAGGTTCGAGATATTATTTTCTCCTCAGCAGCATCAGGGTGTCCAGAATGTAGGTCTCCTACTTACCAGGACTGTAGGTCTTTTAGATCTCCAGGTTGACTGGAAGCGAATTAACGCTACGTCATTTTTATATCTTAGGAAATTTAAGTAAAACATGAACATTTGACTTCCTATTTTATTGTTAAGTAATTAAGATGTAATAAATAGCCCACTGTTTCTCGCCGGATCTTCTCAGTAGGTCGCGTTTCCGATCCGATGGTAGATTCTGCGAAGCACTACTCTTGCTAGGGCCAGTGTTAGCACCACTCCCGGTTAGAGCCCCGTGAGCTCACCTACATGTTAGGGCGAAGCTGATATAGCCTCTGAAGGCTATCACCATAGGTAGCAAAAAAAAGATGTAATAAATTAATACTAATTACTGTTTTTTAGCGAAAATATAATACGTATCGTTTTGAATTTTGATATTCGGATATTTTTTCTTTCCCTTCCTAACCTGATGGCCCTAGTGGCTATTTTAGCGTAACCCTAACTTTAGTAGGTGAGCTCACGGGGCTCAAACCTGATGACGTTGCTAACACGAACCCTAGCAAGAGTCGTGCTTCGCAGAATCTACCACCGGATCGGAAACGCGACCCACTGAGAAAATCCGGCGAGAAACTCAGTGGGCTGTGTCTGAGAGTTAATTTACTCGTCGAGCCCTTCGTCGCAAGCGACGGGTTCGACGAGAACGGTGACCGGTGCTTGAAGTACCTAAAAGCACCGTTAGTGGATCGGGAGGATCCGAGATGACGTGTTTTGGGCGACGTCGACTGCTTTCCATTCGGTCCGCAGGATCGGGAATGTAGTTACCGGCGGCCACGATGAGAGGGTTCTCGTGTCGTGCCGCTTTATAGAAGTGGTTTCACGATTGACTTCCACGGTGAAGGAATAAATAACATCGTGTAATAAAAATCGAACCCGCAAAATTATAATTTGCGTCATTACTAGTGGTAATTGTTTTCAAAAAGAATTGCTTCTAATAATACAGCTTATATTATGATAATACACAAAATTAAATATCTATCTTCAATTCTTCATCGATTTAAATTGTAAAATAGTATAATGCAGACGAGATAGACACGAACGACGTCTCAATTGTGTCTCTGACTACAAGTTAGTGAGTAATTATAAATGATGTTTAAAGCAAGAGCGAACCAACAATGTACAGAAATAGTTATTTAAGTTTTTTTTTCCCTCCAAACACGTTGTCAATGTATTAATTTTCGAACATATACATTGGGGCAACACTACTGTTTATTTAACTAAAATTAGTTAAATTTAACTCTTTCCTTAATGTTAAGATTATTGGATAACTATTTTAAGTACAGCGGATGTAAACAATTGTTTAAGGCGGCAATTCAAGAGTATTAATTTCGGCTTGAGCAGGCTGGGTGAACCTCTCTGTTGTTATTGTTGTATACTATGTGTAGGGAGCGGCTTGGTTCTGCCCCTGGCATTGCTGAAGTCCATGGGCGACGGTAACCACTCACCATCAGGTGGGCCGTACGTAAGGGCAATAAAAAAAATACTTGAAATTCAATGATAAAAGAATGAGGAGAATGATGGGATGAGAATGATGGGCGATGAGTGGATGAGCTCACAGCCGCCACCCACCTTGAAATATGAGTTCTAAGGTCTCAGTATAGTTACAACGGCTGCCCCGGCCTTCAAACCAAAACGTATTACTGCTTCACGGTAGAAATAGTCAGGGTATCTATCCGTGCGGGCTCACAAGAGGTCCTACCACCACCTGCCTGCCTAAATTTGATAAAAACCTACTAGTGCGGCTTTAAATGTTTGTTCAAGTACAGAATTCACGGTAGTTCTTGTCAAGCCAAGGTCTTTTAATAGGTTATACAGAGATTTTACTGGTATATTTCTTGCTAGCACTTCGGCTGCATATAAGCTACGTTTTTTTTTTGTTAGCTAGTTCGTAAGGTCGTAAAAGCGAGATTAAATCTTAAAATTAGTCTTAATTGTGCCCATTGCTCGGGAAAACTGAAGAAAATATTATATATATAGATTAATTGGTTCTGTTTTGTATAAGATCGTCTAATTCTCAATACATATACAAGTGATATTTACCTGTCTGCGTTGAGAATCCGGAGCGTCGTCGCTTGCAAGACATCTCTTTGTCTAGCTTACTCGCGTCTGTAATTACAATTGTTGTATTTTAATTTGTTTGTTTTGAGGAACAGCTATTCATTACGTAAGTTGGGCTTTAGTGATCTCGTAACAAGACGCCCATACTACCTATTACTATACTAGACTATTACCACCTTAAAAATAAGATAAATTTGATAGATTTTCAAGATAACGTAGATTTTTCTTCCTACCTATGCTGATAGCCTTGAGAGGCTATTTCAGCTTCACCCTAGCATGTAAGTGAGCTCACGGGGCTCAAACCGGAACTGTTGCTAACATTTCTAGCAAACTAACTAGCAAAAGCAATGCTTCGCAGAATCTACACCGGATCGAAAACGCGACCCACTGAGAAGATCCGGCGAGAAACTCAGTGGGCTGTGTCTATGGGTTAATTCACTCGTCGAGCCCAACCTCGAGGCTCGACGAGGACGGTGACCGGTGCTTGTGATACCTAAAAGCACCGTTAATGGATCGGAAAACATTGCCCCGGGTGAGGATCGAACTCACGACCTTAAGATTATGAGACTTACGCGCTGCCTACTGCGCTACCGAGGCCGATAACTTAGATATATGTAGATACTAATGTATACAAAAATTTCCGAATAACAAAATTAAAAAAAGTAGGTATTTAGGTTTTGGTAGGTTTTATATTTTCGCTAAAATCGGTAATTAGTATTAGTTTATTACATAATATTACTTAATTAACAATAAATAGGAAGTCAAATATTCAGTTGTACTTAAATTTTGTAAGATATAAAAATTACGTAGGTTTCATTCGCTTCCAGTCAACCTGGAGACCTAAAAGGACTACGTTCTGGACACCCTGATGCTGCTGAGGGGAAAATAATTTATTTTTAAGGGATTTTATGACCTGGTAACTAAGACCTTTTAGGTCAACTTGTATTTTAATTCTAATGAAAACTTGTATAGATATAAAGTGATATTATGAAATGAAATGAAGTTTATTTATATGAAACATGGCATGAAATGTAATGTGATGATATGATATGCGATGAAATATAATCTCAGTAAAATGGTGGTCATTTACTGAGACTTTTTCAGTGGACTTTTTGGAGGATCCCCGTTCAGCTATGTTCAGCGGCTTTTGATTTTCCCACATTTGTGCACTTTCACAGATATTAAACAGTTAATAAACCACCGTTATTACACATTTAAACCAGAAGAAACACTAAATACACCAAATAAAGCAAATCACACAACTTCACTCCTCGCGTTCCCGCCAAAAAGTCAAAATAATATCCCGAACCTTCCAAAAGTTGTTGAATACCACGCTTGTATAGTTTAGCGGCTCCGTCGAGGAACGTGGCTGATGTCCTCAAAGAAAATCGCCTCCGAGCCTCTTGCTCATCGCTGCTCATCCAGTTTCCTAGTTTTGTACTGGAAAATATACATACTTCAAACTTCATGTTATCTGATCGGCTGTCTGAGCCCTTTAGACACAGTAATTCAAATGACTGAAGCATTTTTGTCTTGACAATAACGGGAGGGTAAGTTTAAGGTCTCAGTCGGTTTTTACTGGTGGTAGAACTTCTTGTGAGTCCGCACGGGTAGGTACCATCACCTCGCCTATTTCTGCCGTGAAGCAGTAATGCGTTTCGGTTTGAAGGGCGGGGCAGCCGTTGTAACTATACCTGAGACATTAGAACTTATATCTCAAGGTGGGTGGCGCATTTACGTTGTAGTTGTCTATAGGCTCCAGTAACCACTTAACACCAGATGGGCTGTGAGCTCTTCCACCCACCTAAGCAATAAAAATAAAATAAAAAAACATTGCGCGGACGAGGGTCCCTGCTCAAAAGTGGGAATGAATGGTAGCTTTTTTTTATTCTTTGACAGGGTTGAAGGTACTTTCATAACTTTCTTCCGAAATACTTTCCCGTATAATATTGAAATTTGGGCAAGGAAGTTCGAAGCATCCCTGTCGCGGCGTTATCGTCAATTTATCGAACCATTCTCTCGCTTGAAGATCTCTATGCAGCTGTGTTCGCCATAGCTACACCCCTGTTAGAATATATTGCTGTCTATGATCGCTTAGAACGCTTAGGTTATCTCTATATATAAAAATGAATTGCTGTTCGTTAGTCTCACTAAAACTCGAAAACGGCTGGACAGATTTGACTAATTTTGGTCTTGAATAATTCGTGGAAGTCCAGAGAAGGTTTAAAAAGGTAGACAAATATGATAATCCTCGGAATTAAATGAAAATAACAATTTTGTTTTTCTTTTGACGTGTCCCCCCGTCGGACGGATTCCTTTTGTGTGTTTTAAGTTTATTTTATACAAAGGCTTAGGTCTTTTATTTATCGATTGAGGCACTACGAAGTCGGCCGGGTCAGATAGTTACTGTTATAAAATAGCAGAGCCATACTCAGAGTTTCGGCATTCTAAGTCAATGCTACTTACCAAATTTTAAGTAAGTTAATGTCTTCTTCATCCGTTATGGTTATGTCGTTGGCGGCCTTCCACGCTTTTCCAAGATTCTTGCTGCACATCAATTTACGATTGTAAAACATTCTAGGACGTATAATTTTATGTGTAGATCCAAGAATGTTAGATCACGAGTTTTAATCGAAAAAAAAAAACAGTTTTTGTTACTACCCACCAGTTGTTATGAATTAGTAACGATCACCATAGATAGTATTAAATGTCAATTAGCAAAGGCTTAAATTTACGATTTTAAAACATTCTAGGACGTGTAATTTTATATGTACGTCCAATAATGTTAGCTATCGAGTTTTAATCGAAAAAAATAGTTTTTTTTACCACCCACCAATTGTTATGAATTAGTAACGATCACCATAGATAATATTAAATGTCAATTAGCAAAGGCTTAAATTTACGATTGTAAAACATTCTAGGACGTCTAATTTTATATGAAGATTCAAGAATGTTAGATCATGAGTTTAAATTTAAAAAAAAATACAGTTTTTGTTACTACCCACCAATTGTTATGAATTAGTAACAATCACCATAGATAACATTAAATGTCAATTAGCAAAGGCTTAAATTTACGATTGTAAAACATTCTAGGACGTATTATTTTATATGTAGATCCAAGAATGTTAGATCACGAGTTTTAATCGAAAAAAGAAATACAGTTTTTGTTACTACCCCCCGATTGTTATGAATTAGTAACGATCACCATAGATAATATTAAATGTAAATTAGCAAAGGCTTAAATTTACGATTGTAAAACATTCTAGGACGTGTAATTTTATAATATGTAGATCCAAGAATGTTAGATCACGAGTTTTAATCGAAAAAAGTAATACAGTTTTTGTCACTACCCCCCGATTGTTATGAATTAGTAATGATCACCATAGATAATATTAAATGTCAATTAGCAAAGGCTTATTAAATTTACGATTGTAAAACATTCTAGGACGTGTAATTTTATATGTACGTCCAATAATGTTAGATAACGAGTTTTAATTGAAAAAAATACAGTTTTTGTTACTACCCACCAATTGCAATGAAATAATAACGATTACGATAGATAATATTAAATGTCAATTAGCAAAGGCTTAGAGAGTATGATAGAGATGTTATCTTTCTTTCTATTTAGCATGTATGCGATGGTGGTTAGGTGTGTCTTAATATACTACATATCGTTTTATATAATATATAATAGTACATATCGTTTTATACTCTGTCTATTTTTGTCTGTCTTACTGTTTATGTCTGTTGTTACTGTCCTCCGTCCGTTACTGTCCTAAGACTCAAAACAGTCGTTTTGCGGCAAAAATAGACAGAGCATACAACTATATGTACTAACTTAAGATGGATAAGGAAGCTTAAGGATGGGATAAACCGTATATACGATAAAAAACTTCGATCTCATGTCTCAAAGTGGGTAGCGACTTTCGCGTTATAATGATTTTGGGCTTCTTTAATCACTAAAAACCACGTAGGCCGAAAGGTCGATCACCGGTCGACACAATTATAAAATAAATAAACAAATAAATTCCGTACGGGTCGAGCTAAATAAAACCGTTTAAAAAAAACAATTTTATTTTGTCTTTCTAATTTGATAGTAAAAAAAAGTAGGCCATTCCGGCAGTACATTCCTATTTTTAAATAAAGAATAATCTGTCAATGTGTGCGTATATTTGGCTATAAGATTAAAAAAAAACTGTGCGAGAAAATAATAATATTATCTCGTTGTCGTTAGGGTTAAGAATTTAAATTCAAATACAGAATTATACTAGGCCGACACTCTCGAGGCGATTGGCCAACCCCACGTGGGGGCTACGGACCGTCGAGGCGGTTTAACCAGTCTTTGATGACTGGGTGAATCGTGGCGAAGGACGTCTCACCTTTCGTCTGGTGCAGGTGCTGACCGGGCACGGATGCTTCGGGAAGTACCTGCGCCGGATAGGGGCTGAGCCGACGACGAGGTGTCACCATTGTGGACACGACCTGGACACGGCGGAGCATACGCTCGCTGTCTGCCCCGCTTGGGAGGTGCAGCGNATTCGGATATTTTTTCTTTCCCTTCCTAACCTGATGGCCCTAGTGGCTATTTTAGCGTAACCCTAACTTTAGTAGGTGAGCTCACGGGGCTCAAACCTGATGACGTTGCTAACACGAACCCTAGCAAGAGTCGTGCTTCGCAGAATCTACCACCGGATCGGAAACGCGACCCACTGAGAAAATCCGGCGAGAAACTCAGTGGGCTGTGTCTGAGAGTTAATTTACTCGTCGAGCCCTTCGTCGCAAGCGACGGGTTCGACGAGAACGGTGACCGGTGCTTGAAGTACCTAAAAGCACCGTTAGTGGATCGGGAGGATCCGAGATGACGTGTTTTGGGCGACGTCGACTGCTTTCCATTCGGTCCGCAGGATCGGGAATGTAGTTACCGGCGGCCACGATGAGAGGGTTCTCGTGTCGTGCCGCTTTATAGAAGTGGTTTCACGATTGACTTCCACGGTGAAGGAATAAATAACATCGTGTAATAAAAATCGAACCCGCAAAATTATAATTTGCGTCATTACTAGTGGTAATTGTTTTCAAAAAGAATTGCTTCTAATAATACAGCTTATATTATGATAATACACAAAATTAAATATCTATCTTCAATTCTTCATCGATTTAAATTGTAAAATAGTATAATGCAGACGAGATAGACACGAACGACGTCTCAATTGTGTCTCTGACTACAAGTTAGTGAGTAATTATAAATGATGTTTAAAGCAAGAGCGAACCAACAATGTACAGAAATAGTTATTTAAGTTTTTTTTTCCCTCCAAACACGTTGTCAATGTATTAATTTTCGAACATATACATTGGGGCAACACTACTGTTTATTTAACTAAAATTAGTTAAATTTAACTCTTTCCTTAATGTTAAGATTATTGGATAACTATTTTAAGTACAGCGGATGTAAACAATTGTTTAAGGCGGCAATTCAAGAGTATTAATTTCGGCTTGAGCAGGCTGGGTGAACCTCTCTGTTGTTATTGTTGTATACTATGTGTAGGGAGCGGCTTGGTTCTGCCCCTGGCATTGCTGAAGTCCATGGGCGACGGTAACCACTCACCATCAGGTGGGCCGTACGTAAGGGCAATAAAAAAAATACTTGAAATTCAATGATAAAAGAATGAGGAGAATGATGGGATGAGAATGATGGGCGATGAGTGGATGAGCTCACAGCCGCCACCCACCTTGAAATATGAGTTCTAAGGTCTCAGGTATAGTTACAACGGCTGCCCCGCCCTTCAAACCGAAACGCATTACTGCTTCAGGGCAGAAATAGGCAGGGTGGTACCTACCCGCGCGGACTCTCAAGAGGTCCTACCACCAGTAAAAACCGATTGAGACCTTAGACTTACCCTCCTGTCATTGTCAAGACAAAAATGCTTAAATCGTTTTAATCACTGTGTCTAAAGGGCTCAGACAGCCGATCAGATAACATATGGTTTAAAGTATGTATATTTTTCCAGTACAAAACTAGGAAACTGGATGAGCAGCGATGAGCAAGAAGCTCGGAGGCGATTCTCTTTGAGGACATCAGCCACGTTCCTCGACGGAGCAGCGAAACTCTACAAGCGTGGTATTCAACAACTTTTGGAAGGTTCGAGATATTATTTTCTCCTCAGCAGCATCAGGGTGTCCAGAATGTAGGTCTCCTACTTACCAGGACTGTAGGTCTTTTAGATCTCCAGGTTGACTGGAAGCGAATTAACGCTACGTCATTTTTATATCTTAGGAAATTTAAGTAAAACATGAACATTTGACTTCCTATTTTATTGTTAAGTAATTAAGATGTAATAAATAGCCCACTGTTTCTCGCCGGATCTTCTCAGTAGGTCGCGTTTCCGATCCGATGGTAGATTCTGCGAAGCACTACTCTTGCTAGGGCCAGTGTTAGCACCACTCCCGGTTAGAGCCCCGTGAGCTCACCTACATGTTAGGGCGAAGCTGATATAGCCTCTGAAGGCTATCACCATAGGTAGCAAAAAAAAGATGTAATAAATTAATACTAATTACTGTTTTTTAGCGAAAATATAATACGTATCGTTTTGAATTTTGATATTCGGATATTTTTTCTTTCCCTTCCTAACCTGATGGCCCTAGTGGCTATTTTAGCGTAACCCTAACTTTAGTAGGTGAGCTCACGGGGCTCAAACCTGATGACGTTGCTAACACGAACCCTAGCAAGAGTCGTGCTTCGCAGAATCTACCACCGGATCGGAAACGCGACCCACTGAGAAAATCCGGCGAGAAACTCAGTGGGCTGTGTCTGAGAGTTAATTTACTCGTCGAGCCCTTCGTCGCAAGCGACGGGTTCGACGAGAACGGTGACCGGTGCTTGAAGTACCTAAAAGCACCGTTAGTGGATCGGGAGGATCCGAGATGACGTGTTTTGGGCGACGTCGACTGCTTTCCATTCTGTCCGCAGGATCGGGAATGTAGTTACCGGCGGCCACGATGAGAGGGTTCTCGTGTCGTGCCGCTTTATAGAAGTGGTTTCACGATTGACTTCCACGGTGAAGGAATAAATAACATCGTGTAATAAAAATCGAACCCGCAAAATTATAATTTGCGTCATTACTAGTGGTAATTGTTTTCAAAAAGAATTGCTTCTAATAATACAGCTTATATTATGATAATACACAAAATTAAATATCTATCTTCAATTCTTCATCGATTTAAATTGTAAAATAGTATAATGCAGACGAGATAGACACGAACGACGTCTCAATTGTGTCTCTGACTACAAGTTAGTGAGTAATTATAAATGATGTTTAAAGCAAGAGCGAACCAACAATGTATAGAAATAGTTATTTAAGTTTTTTGTTCCCTCCAAATACGTTGTCAATGTCTTAATTTTCGAACATATCCATTGGGGCAACACTACTGTTTGTTTAACTAAAATTACTTAGTTAAAGGGGATTGCCCACTCTCCATAGTGTGCTAGGCCCAAGGTGGACATTAAATATTACTATAAAAATGGACTGATTCAAATTCTTAAATGTATTAGATATCTAAAAAAAATATTGAAATTGACGCC